TGCCGGCAGCTGTTCGGCGGCTCCAAAATGGCCGCCGCAATACCCGATCTTCGCAATGCGGGTTTTCCCCATTGCGAAGATCGGGTATGTTTCCGTATAGCGATCCCGAAAAAGGGATCGCTATACGGAAACATCGCTATACGGTGCACTCGCTAAGCGAGGCACCACTGTATCTTATAGACATTAAATGTATCCCATATACATACACATTATATAATGTTATGTAGATATAATATAGGCATAAAACACAAAAGTAACTAATTTCCAAAGAAGTAGCCATGTTAGTCTGTTTTAGGATGTTGGCAAAAAAGAAAGGGAAAAGAAGACAAAAATACTTTAACACTTTAAATGCTAACAGTTTTATTTCAGTGTGATCTTTTGTGGATCAGAATCCATTTCTGTGTGGTCTATAGATATCTCTCTGAACAGGCCAGGATACAATAATAAACAAAGTGACAAGATTTCATTAACACAGGAATGGGATTATCAAGATGTTAATTGCTTCAGTTGGCAGGTCGTGACCAGTGTGGTGGACTCGGCTGTTACAGGAATGCGAAGAAGTGTTTCTGGGACAGTGTTTGGTGTCTGAAGCTGGCGTATTAATATATGTAGTGTGCTAAGAAGCCTTGTTCTCTATTGAGGCCCTTAGAGGTGCACCAGAACTTGTTTGTGTACCTGATTCCTGCTGTCTCCCTTTCATGTCTCCTTTTACAATTCCTTTTTTCTACAGTAGTCACTTTGAGATTCATAGCAGAGAATCCTCGTGTTCTGAAACTGGTTTCTCTGTGTTGCCGTTCCTGGTGCCAGATTCTAATCTCTTTATCCTATTGTACAGAGATTCTCCTGTTTGTCTTATATTGAAAGAGTGGCAGTGCTGGCAGGAGATGGCATAAATTGGATGAACAAATAAATAGACCCTTGATTTGTCGCTGGCATTACTGGGACCTTTGATGGAGTTACCAGTGTTAAAACAGGAGCACAACTGACATCCAGATTTGTGATAGTGTCTTGTTTCTGTCTCAAGCTCCATATTGTGTTGCCGATTGTGTGGTTAGTGTTTGTGTAAGTTGGGGAGGTTGTCTGTAGGTATGTACGGAATGTCCTCCTGATGCCTGAGGGGAGATACGTTGTCCAGAATGGATTGGAGGTCCCTGATCTTTGTGGTCTCAGGAGTTGTAAGTGGCATTCTGGTTTCCTCTCTGTTGAGTCTGTTTTGTAACACGTTATTTCTGGGTGCCAGTCTGGCTTTTTCAATTTTCTTTTTTCTTCACACTGAGTAGATAAGAATTGCCTGCTCTGACTCCATGAGTTTTGAGTGTCTTTCCGTAGCAAATTCAGTTACACCACCAGAGAGTTTGGCTGTGGACAGTGGACTTCATGCTATGCACTGGGTGGAAGTGTGATACATATAAGCACATGTTACAGTCATTGAGTTTCCAGTATAGCATAATATTGATATGTCCATTGTGCAGTTCATCATAGTATCCAGAAAGTTGTATTTGTAGTATGGACTGGTCTAGGCTTAGGTGGATGGAAGGATAAAAAATGTTGAAGTCCTGTTGGAAGTTTTCTAGCAATTCCTTGTCATGAATTCAGGTGATGGACATTGTCAGTTAATCACAGATAGAGGAATGGTTTCTGCGTGCAGGAACCCAGGAAGCATTGAAATTAAAGACTTGAATCTTTAAAGTGCTACAGTATTTTGCCTGTCTCCTCCCCCTTTTTTCCTTGCCAAAATCAACTAAAGAATCTTTTCTTAGAGACAATACAAAGCTAGAAGTAAAACACAGGAAATATCTGGAACTATTTTAACTAGGAACAAGCAGAACTGAAAATCAAAGCCAGTGAGTTAAGATCCAAGGAGGAGCAATTGGCTAGAGATCGGGAAGTTCTGGAGCAGGAGAAGCAGGAGCTAAGACTGGAAAAGGAAAAAGTCTGCACAGCAGCTCTGCACATCAGACAGAGAACAGCTGAAATCAACAGCATGAGCAAGGTAAAAAGCTCACCTTTCCCTCTTTACACATATACTCTGTTTGTGGTTAGAAAGGCACTACAGGAAGGAAATTGAGGTAGCCTATGGAGCCAACCGTTAGATTTGGCTGCTGAAGGCAGTCTAATAAAGTATGGTGTTGTGAAAGGAAGATTATGGCATTTAAACTAGACAATAATGTAGCCCCAGAAGGCAGGAAACAAGGATGTCCTTGCCTTTAATATCAGTGGGTGAAATCCATTTTACTACATTCAACAGTGATGGGGAGTGCTGTGTATGTACTTTTAAAACACTTGCTTCTTGACTTACTATTGTCAGTGTGATCCATGATGCAGGAAAGGGATTCTAGGGCTCTAATCCAGATCAACTCCTGATTCTTTCTTTCACTATTAAACAGCTGTCCTCCCAAAAGTATGAGGAAGGGGAGAAGGCCCTCCTGGAGGCAAGAAGGGTAGAATCCGAACATCAGGCAAAACTGCATCATTTGCAGCAGCGGATGGAACAGCTCAAGCAGCAAGAGGAACGTCTGCACCAGGTAATTTCTCTGAAGGTTTGAAATGATTTTCTTTTCCTTGTGCCACTAGTCATTCTCAGAATCTGAATAAGCTGATTATAAAAATTTAGCCTGCCATATCACATTTGCTTAAGATGGACAACAGCATGCCAAAACATGAGATTTCTATACGTGTCCTATTCTTTTTAATCCCATGCCTAACTCTTTAAACTCAATGTCTCTGCATTTTGTGATACCCCTGAGTCCAGTTTTTCTTTTATTCATTTTGAATATATACATGAACATAACTTTGTTTTCTTAAATACAGTCTGTAGATAAACTAGTTAAGAGAGAAAAGAATAGTATGAGACAAAATTAAGTGTTGAATGGCTGCAACACATTCAGGTTACATGCATGCTGGATGCAAATACTATATGTAGTGTTGAGAATTTGTTATGTTTCTGGATTTAAGCAGAGTTAGGAAATATAGTTGCAATGACACCATAACTCTTTAGAGTAAAATTCAGCAGAGTCTGTTTACAAATATACATAAGAACACCATCTTAGATTCAGATATGAAGCTGGCAGCATTTTATATAACATGATACAGAATAAATTATCTGACTTGCAGCAGATAACTTGTCCCCTTAACACATGTCTTTTATACATCTTGGGACCAATCTCAATATACATTACATCATTGTACATGTCATAACCATTTTACACGAGCTGCACAATATTAAGTCTTCAACCTTGATACACACCTGAATCCACTTTGTACAAGGCTCAGACTACATCAGCCATTTTACATTCACTATACAACATTACAGTCAATAAATTTATAGATTAAAAATCTCAACATGAAGGATGGAGGATTTTAATGATTAAGAAGTAGGGCCTGATCTGTCTTTAGGCAGTGTGAGGCAATCACCCTAGGCAGCATTGCTGATGAGCGACAGCAGCAGTCCTTACCCATTCCTCTGAGCTTGCCAGCCACTCTCCTTCCCTTCTTTTACATACAGTGGGGACACTGTCTCATCATCCATACTGAAGCACAATTCATGTCCCCGTCCAGTTCATGTCTGTATGCGGAAAGGGAATGGGGTGGCGTGCCAGCTTATCCTTCACCTCCAACAGGAACCTTGGGCCAGTCCTGTCAGCATTAGTGCCTTGAACTGGGCTTGATAATTAATAGGCAGCCTGGGCACAGGTAAGAACCAGTTAGCTAAAGTGCTACCTTCCTACTGTCTCCAGTACTTAGGCCACAGCACTCTGCAATAGCTGAAGTTTCAAAACACTCTTCAGGAAGACACTGAAGCTCACGTTGCAGCTAGATGCATTCCAGTAGCCAAGTCTTGAGGTTACAAAAGGGATGGATGATGGCGGCCAAATTGTGATTTTCTAAGAAGGGACATGGCCTATAAGGAGCATCTGATTTAAAAATACTCCTGATCATACAGCTGACACTTGTTTGTAATTGGATGCACAAACTCTCCGTAAGCTGGCACATGATAGGACACTCACTTTATCTGGTAATGTGGAGGCATGTGGCAGTTTTTTAAACTGAGTTCACCACTGAGTAATACTTTGCGAGGAAAAGGTGCCATGCAACATTCTACTGAGATGTTTCTGTTTCTCTCACTGGGCTGGGCCAGGAGCGACTGAGTTTGACTCAGCAGAGGAAGCAGCTTGAACAGCTGCGCATGGGCCTCCCAAGCAATCCGTTTGCATTTCAGAGTGTTCCCCAGATGACATTGCCAAGAGCTGAAGCCAGCATCATTTCCAACATGCATTGTAAGTGATCACAAAGCCACTAATAAACGGCTTAGAAGCGTTTTGGATGGGAAGAAAAAGGGAAAATGGTGTTTAAGATGCTTATTCCATGTAGCTTGGGGTGTTTGTAAATGTTTTTAAAGCTTAAGATATGGGAAGAAATAATGCCTTGTCATTTGCTACCTGAATATCATAGCTTAGAGGGCAGAATCCTGTTGGCATACTGCAGCCAGCATAAGCTGAATCTGGGCACCAGAAATAATTAAAAAGAATTGAAGGCTTCCTATTGCCCTTTCAGGTTCCCAGGCTGTCTAGGTCTCCCTATTGTCCTGGAGAAACATTTGGAAGCCTCAGGATGGGGTAACAGAGCCTTAATAACCAGAAATTGCCACTGGATTGATTGTGGTAGTCTCAATCCCAATGGCAGTGATTTTTG